CATCAGTCTCTTCTTCCCAGCAACTAGGGCAATCCTCCTAAAGCTGAATCAGATCATACCCCTCATCTGCTCAGAACCTTCTAGTTAGCTTTTACATCACTCTGGATGAAAACCAGAATTCTGTTGAGGGCCTTATTGAGTCCCATTTGTGCTGGGATTTTGTGGCTGACTTGCTGTTCCTCTCATATGTGATGCTGTCACCTCAGACCTGGTGCTTGTGTGATCTGCTGGAAATACATTTTTTCCCTATGACTCTCAATGACTTCTTGACCCATTTTCTTCAGGACTCTGTTTAGATGGTATCTCATCAGTAAGTCTCCCTGACGCCCTTATATTAAGTTTCAGTAGCAACTTGTAACACCATCACCTGGACTTTGTTGTTTTTCTTTAACTGAGTTCTTCAACAGAGCGCCTGCCATGCAATCTGTATTTCCTTTGGAGAGAAGACCCTGGGAGCAGAATCACTGTTTTGATTTGCTGTAACTTTTAGTGAGGTTCTTAATGTCTCTGCTCTTCAGCTTAACAAAAACATGGATCTAATAACATTGACCCAGGAGAGTTGTTGTGCAAAATAAATGAGCTAATTCAAATAAATTACCAGGTATATAGCAAATATTCAGTTTGTGCTAGCAACTATTATCCTCTTCATTACTGTTGTTTTTTGTCTACTAGTTGTAGTTGCTCAAGATCAGGGATTTTGCTTCATTTGCTGACACATCCACAGTACCAAGAGTAATACCTAAGTATTTAATGAGAAATTACTCAAGTGCAACAAGTTCTTACCAAATATTTGTTTGAACAGTTGAATTCTCACAATAACCTTGGAAGATAGCTGTTCTCACAGACTTTTTACAGAAAGGGAAATGCAGGCTCAAATAAGCTGAATGCTTTAAATCAAATAATACTAGAGTTCACTCTGTTTTATTGGATATACTGTGGGTATGGTGGCAAGGAAGTATATCGCATTCTCATAAAATGGACCATTGGAAGAGAGGGCACCTTCTTAGGGACCCTACAAAACAGTTGTTCTGTTGACATTTATAACTGAAACTAAAAACTACAGTGGTAGGATTTGTCAAGGGATAATCTAGGAAACACTATTAATAGGAAGGGACAGAAATAAGATCACGAAGAGGGCTTAATCATTGCTTGAATGGGCATCAGGGAAGACTTCCCAGAACTATACTTCAGAGAAGGAGTTGGATTTTACCCTATGGAAAAGGAGATAGCAAGGTTTAGTTTCAGGTTGATGGAAAGAATGAGTCAAGTGCATCTGTGAAATTTTGAGTATGTAAAGTTCTTTAAGGAACAAGGCATTTAGATGGTGAGAATTGTGTATGGGGTCAGAAAAGGGGGGTGGGGGAGGAGAAATATGGATTTATGGCCTTTTGGCTGATTTGGGGATTTGTTCTTTAGGCATGCTGGGAAATTCTAGGGAGAACAAAAGGAATAGGATCAAAATAACTTTGACAAGATATGTTGAGATATTTAAGATAGCAGAGAAGGAGACAAACATGTGCAGTTTGAGTCATAGGGTCAGTTAAAGTGTCCCTTGTCTAATTTTCTTATTTCAAGGGAACAGTGTGTTCTGGAGGAGATAGGATGTGGATGAGCTATGACTCTGTTCCAGAAGTGCTTTTCTCATCTCAGCCACCCACCTGGAGTAGCAGCAAGATTGCTAATCCTCAGGTCATTCTTTTGTCAGAACAGGTGATCCACTGGGTAGTCAGAAATATCTTGAGAAGTTGGGAACCTGCAAATTAGTTTCTTGTATTCTCCCCTTTGCTTATAATGTGGTATCAGTAGTTCTCCAAAAGGGAGAGAAAAGAGAAGTGGAGGGATTAGCAGGTCCAGGTAGAAGTCCTTTGCTTAGAAAAGAAAGCCTATGGGCCTATCCATGCATTACTAGGCGGCAATGCAGTCTCCAGCAAATAGGAAAGGTATGGTAATCAAGACTATATTTTTCTGTTGTGGCTTGCTTGGTTACTTCGGGAAGTATCATTTTCCTCTGAAATATTGTTGTGGGATTAATCAGTAATCAAGTGTGGGATGGCAGTAATGGTTTTGTCACCTAGATCATTGTGATTGCTATTAGAGTGACAGTTGACTCCTCAAGATCTGTAACCATTCACATCCTGGGTTAGGTTTTACCTCCAGCCCTTCACCCACCTAAATTAATTTAGGGATTTGGAAAGTGAGTCAGAGCTCAAAGGGCAAATTCATGGCTGTATCTGCTAGCAGAGTGGATAAGGTTCAGCCACATGGCCTTTGGCATTTTAGAACTTAGTTCTAGGTCCTTGGTGACACAGCTTCTGTGAAAGGAATTTGCTCTGCTGAGTGAGTTGGAGCAGTCCTTGCTAACAAGTCTGGTGTTGGGAGCCCGACAAGTGCTGGCCCTGCACGCAGGCCACTTTGGACAGGGGGAAAGCAGAACCAGGAGCCCCTCTCAAGGCAGACCATATCCTGTGAGTGTGTAAGTGTCTAGACATCCTTCCTCTCCCTGTGCCTGGGGGTTTAGCCAGCATTCCCTTTGGGTTCCTTCCCTACTGTAGGACTGAATCTACTAACCTTACTGCCCTTTTTCTCTGCTCTTTCTCTCCTTGCAGAAGGAAAGCGAGGAGCCCTTCAGGTTGTGCCTCTGGCCCTTTGGGCCCTTTGTGTTGTCTTTTTTCTACCCTTCTGTGTGTGCATATGGCACTCTGACCGTGTGTGTGTGTGTGTGTGTGTGTGTGTGTGTGTGTGTGTGTGCGTGCATGATCTGTGCCTCCGAGCTTTGGCTCACGCAGATAGTCTGTTTTTCTGGAAAGCAGTTTGTGTGCATGTTCTGTTCTTGCGTGTACTGCTGAAGATATTCCTGGAGCACCATGTGAGAATGTGTGTGCCGGCACATTCCATGTAGCATGTGTGTGCTTCAACTTTGGCTCCAGTGATGCCCCAGGCACTGATTGCTTTTCTCTTCTATTCTTTGTACAGTTGAGTGGCCATTGTCTACCTATTGCTGCTAACTCTGGCTTATGCTATAAACCCCAAGCTCAGCCCAGCATGTAAGCAGTACTTTGTGTTGGAGAGCAGGCCTGGCCACAGGCGTTTTGTGCCTCTTGCCTGAGGCCCTAAGTGTGAATATGCTTTATACTTTTGTGCAACTCCCTGGGCCTCTCTGTAAGCACAGGCTTCCCTTGAGCTATTGTGTGGTTCTCTCAAGCCACGTGAATGTACAGTGTACCAATGCTCTATGCCTGTAAGTACTGGCTCTTGAATTCAGGGTGCTTGTTTTGCCCATGATTCAGGTCCTGGTGAATTTTGCCCTAATGAGTTAGTGCACGTGTTGTGAAGCCACAGGCCCAGGATTTGTGCTCACCTTTTTTTCCTTCAGGCACAAGTTGCTTCTATGAATGTTCCACCTCTGGGTAGTTGGTTTACACCTCTTTCCACTCCTCTGCCCCTTCTCTGTGTGCTGTGTGTGTGCATGCTCTGTGCTTCTATAGACATCTTGCATCCTCTGAACATAGGAAATGCGCATGATCTGAGCCTAGTTCCCAGAGAATTTGGGGGGAGTGACTTTGCTTCCTGAAATCTCGTGAATTCTGGAAAATATCTAATTCTGGCCAGAAAATAGGAATCTGCTTAGTACAGTGGCAGCCAAAGGGAAGAAGATAAGTTTGGGCTGGTAGACTGCCCATTCCGGTCCTGGCACAAAGACTGCCTTGGGAGACTGCTGTTTTCCCACAATTTCTTACCTACGTTGTTTTCTTCTATTGTATTTGTTGACTTTTGCTTCATCAGCCTCCATGACCTGTCCTTCCCATGCATAAAAGCAGGGGAGGAGGCAGACGAGTTGGAATAAGGACTGTGGGCAGTAGGCAGAAAGGCTTGATTACAGCACAGACAACCTTGGAAGGGGCTTAAATGCAAAGGCCATCCGAGTTTGTTGCTGTCACAGGACAATCTTTGCTTATTTTCCTGTCCTATCTCCTCTCATTCTACTCCATTTTGCCCAATTCTTTCTGTAATTTCTCCCCACTTTAACTTGCCCACAACATTTCTAGTTGTTCAAATCTAAGCAGTGTACTGCCCACCCCATTCCAACCAAAAACTCATTTTTCTCCCAAAACAGGAGGCAGGAAAGTTATTGGGGTCTAAGGGAAACAAGGAGGGACAGGAAGCTCCAGAGCTCTTCCTGCTGAATTTCCTGTGCTAGAAAAGCATGTTATCATTTGCTTATTCCCTGGAGAGTTCTAGAAACAGTGGAGCTCTTTTGGCTGTGCACTGCTTGAAGGATTTGTTTTTTGATTTTGATTTCATTTTAGTTTAGTTTATTTTCATGTATAAGCCTTCAAAAACATTATTAAAAATTGTTTCTTCCTTAGATTACTTGATAGAGCCCATAAAATTCACCAGGATTATAATCTAGAAATCTGATCTACCCTGGACTCTATAGTTTCATCAAATTTATCAGCTGTAGAAAGAGGACTCAGTATCAGTGTATTTGTACATGTGTGCTCAGCATTGATAAGGAAGGAGAACAAAATGAGATGGGATGAAATTGGAATCCAGGAATGTCAAGTCCAACTCCAAGGTAGCCAGGAGTGTTAGGAATATTGCTGGAAGAAAACCAGACTCTATGTGAAGTTGTCTTTTTGCTTTGGTGAAGGACCTTTTCTTGGACTTGACTTATTGCTCTCTGTGCCCAGGGTTCTTACAAGGGAGATATGAGTCCTGACAGCTGTTTCATTCCCAGTGGACCTTCACACTGGGAACTCTCTGAGCTTAATCTTCTGTCCTTTCTGTGGACTGGGAAGAAGGGAGACAGCACTGTTCATCTCAATAACCCCATTGTTGCTCTGGCTGATCAGAGCAATGGCTTAGACATGAAGCTGGCTGTGTCACCAGTGAATGTGACATCCACTGCTATGTGTTCTTCCTTTACTACTCACTGCCCAACCTCCAGACAAAATCCCACGTTTCCCAAGATCTAACTTTTCTTTTCTCTCTTTTTAAAGATTCCTGACGATGGTGACACTTCTGTGCCTCAGTGGCTCCCAGAAGGGTAAGTGACTCTCTATAGGGTTCCTGTGGATTGTATTCAATCTCTCTCACTGTTTTTAGCTTTCCCTCTGGAAAACAGCTCTGTATGCCAGAGCCCAGAGAAGGGGAGAGCTCTGCTGACTGATTTGCCAGAGAAAAAGAGAGTTTTGCTGAACAGTTCCCGCATAGCAGGGGAGGAAATTCTGAGGCTGCACCATCCTCTTCTGATTTTTGAGCCATTGCCTGATAGTGTTGATATGGTCATTAGATCAGACAATGAGCACATTAAAACAATACCTACATTTGGAAGCATTTTCTTTCCATGCCTTTGGTGGTGTAGCTGATTAGATGACTCCTGGGCTTAGTCCTACTTCAGGCATTGTGAGTCACCTGTGTATTCCTTCTGCTCTCCTCAAGATAGAGTGGGGTGTGCTTGTGCTTCTTGTCTGGGAGTTTCAGACCCATGTGATTGTATTGAGAGTCACTTGAAGCTGCTCAGCTGTTGCCTGTTCTTAAGAGAGAAAGAGTTAAGTGTTCTTCTTTTAGAAATGATCGTTTATGTTGCAGATAATGTCTTGGTTTAAGAGAAATGCATAGTGTAATTTTTAGAATTAGCTACAGATTTGTGGCACTAGTTTCATCTTCAATGGGCTTTAGGTTTTTTTTTCTCTTCTAAGTATAAAATAAAAACATGACTGTGACATATCAGAACTATTTTTTAAATTTTTAAATTTTCATTTGAAAGGCAATTTTGCAGAAAGAGGAGGATAGAAAAGTCTTCCATCTGCTGGTTCACTCCTCAAATGGCTGCAATGGCCACAGCCATTCCAACACTGGAAACCAGGAGCTTCTCCTGGTCTCCAACATGGGTGCAGGGTCCAAGAACTTGGGTCGCCTTCTGCTTTCCCAAGCCAAAAACAGATAACTGGATTGGAAGTGGAGTAGCTGTGACACAAACTGGCACCCATATGAGATGCCTACGCTTGCAGGTGAAGAACTATCCTGATATGCCACCATACCAGCCCTGACATATCAGAACTCTGTTCAGGTGAAACCAGGCAGAAGTATTCTATATAGTTCACTGTTATCTTCTGTCCTTTCTTTCAGCTTAGAATTCGGAAATATATCACAAGTATACCACCTTCCTAGGCCTGGTAGAGTCGTTAATAATAAAGCTGTCCTCTGTTTAGAGAGCTAGTTTACCAGAAAACAGCATTACAAGTTACCTTTTCCAACTGCTGGCCTTAACCCAGTTTATGACTCCACTCTTCGCCATATAGCTGCAAGTACCTGCTTATTCTGGACATCTCTAGACCAGCTGTGGTATACAGCCCAGCTACTCTGCCTCCTTCACTTCATACTGTCATGAAAATCAAGTATGGTAGAGAAACAAGATGGCAGAATATGGTAAGAACATGTTTAAACAGACAGAAAATCACTAACCAGGGGGAAGCAGAGATGTCGTGATCCTAGGATATAGGAGAGGACAGGCAGAGGGACACCTGGCGACCTGTGGACATGGGGAAGCACTAGAGACAGCGGAGCAGTGTTGTAGTGAATAACCAGATACTCCAATGGCGGTTGATATTTGGTGATTCCAACTCCACCAGAGGCCAGGGAAAACAGTACCAACCTGGCATCCTACAGGTTCCACTCAAAATAGGTCCAGGTGACCTTCACACCTAAAGGGAAGTTGCCCCAAATCTCCACCAGTGCCACATCAGGAACAATTTTGTGTACTGAGGAAAAAGCTGTGGGGCTGAAGGAAGAATAGTAAGCTGCACAGGTGCTGAGCCAGGACAGACCTCACTTCCAGCTCAATGCATTGACTGGTCTCACAGGGAAAATAGTACTGACTCAGTATCCTACAGGTTCCACTAAAAATAGGTTCGGGTGGTTGTCAGACCTAACAGCCAACAGGTTCCGGCAAGACCAGCAATGCCGACAACCTGGTGATTTAGTACAGCTGGTGTATGGCACTGCTTGAACCGTAAGTGGGAGAAAGGCTGTGCAGGCAACAGTGTGGCCACAGGATCACAGTGGGTGGAAAGTGGTGAGCAAGGTGCTGGAGCTATCGAGACCATGGTGGAAGCTTAGTACAAGAGCCCAGGACTGACACTCACTGGAGGGAGTAGCACAAATGACTACAAAGAACCAGGTACTGAATGCAATCAGTAAAATCCACCTACGCTGTGGGCAACACAGCTTAAAGCCAGCCCTAATGAGAGGAATCTGCTAAACAGAAGAGCAATGACCAAAAGCAAAAGCAGAGACAATGAATATTGCTGATGCCTCCCCTGTGAAGGAACAAAAGACTTCGTCAACATCAGAGTTATCTGAGGAAAACATTGAGGAAATGGGAAATAAAGAATTTTAGGGCCCGGCGTGATAGCGCAGTGGTTAAGGTCCTCGCCTTGTACACCCGGGATCCCATATGGGTGCTGGTTCTAATCCCGGCATCCCCGCTTCCCATCCAGCTCCCTGCCTGTGTCCTGGGAAAGCAGTCGAGGACGGCCCAAAGCTTTAGGACCCTGCACCCATGTGGGAGACCCGGAAGAGGCTCCTGGTTTCTGATCGGCATAGCATTGGCTATTGCGCTCACTTGGGGAGTGAATCATGGGATGGAAGATCTTCCTCTCTGTCTCTCTTCTCTGTATATCAGCCTTTCCAATAAAAAAAATAAAATAAATATTTAAAAAAAAAGAATTTTAAAAACTTGTTTTTAAAGCTTTTTAATGACAATGAGAAGCACATATAGGAGTTCAAGGAGTTTAAGGAGTATGTCACATAGGAAATAACACTGAAACAAAATCAGGCTGAATTATTGAAAATGAAAGACACAATGGAACAAATTAGAAATTCAGTGGAAACCTCAATAATTGAATGAGAGGCAGAAGAGAGAACCTCAGAATTGGAAGGCGTTTCCTTCAGCAATGGTGGAGAAATCAAAAAGCTGGAAGAGGAACTGAGTCAAGCTAAGAAAAATATTCAAGAATTAAGGGACACTATTAAAAGATCAAGTATAAGAGTTACAGGAGTTAAGGCACAAAAAGAGAAGTGGGGTTTAAAAATATATTGGGGGGGGGCCTGGCGCGATAGCATAGTGGTTAAAGTCCTCACCTTGAACGCGCTGGGATCCCATATGGACACCGGTTCTAATCCTGGCGGCCCTGCTTCCCATCCAGCTCCCTGCTTGTGGTCTTGGAAAGCAGTGGAGGATGGCTCAAACCCTTAGGACCCTGCACCTGTGTTGGAGACCTAGAGGAAGTTCCTGGCTGCTGGCTTTGGATTGGCTCAGCTCCAGCCATTGAGGCCACTTGGGGAGTGAACCATCGGATGGAAGATCTTTCTCTCTCCTCTTTGTATATTTGCCTTTCCAATAAAAATAAATAAATCTTTAAAATATATATGTATATATATTCAGGGATCGGCACTGTAGCCTAGCGGTTAAAGTCCTTGCATTGTATGTGCTAGGTTCCCATATGGGTGCCAGTTCTAATCCTGGCAGCCCCACTTCCCATCCAGCTCCCTGCTTGTGGCCTGGAAAAGCAGTCGAGGATGGCCCAAAACCTTGGGAACCTGCACCTGTGTGGGAGACCTGGAGGAAGTTCCTTGGCACAGCACCAGCGATTGTGCTCACTTGGGGAGTGAATCATCGGACGGAAGATCTTGATCTCTGTCTCTCCTCCTCTCTGTATATCTGACTTTCCAATAAAAATTTAAATAAATCTTAAATAAAAATAAAAATGTATTCAATGAAATAATTCAGGATAGCTTCCCTGATTTGGAGAAAGAATTGGGAAACAAAATACAGGAGAGGCACAAAACTCCGAGTAGGGTTGACCAGAAGTGATCTTGCCAGGACACTTGAATATCAAACTCTTCAGTTGAACACAGGGCAAAAATCCTTACATATGCATGTGAAAAAAAGTCAATTAACATCTAGAGGAATCCCAATCAGACTCACTACTGACTTCTCTGAGGAAACTCTCAGGCCAGAAGAGAATGTAGTGACATAGTCCAAATTCTAAAAGGAAAAAAATTATCAGCCCAGGATAACTTACCCTGCAAAGCTTTCCTTTATCTTTGAAAATGAAATAAAATTCTTCCACAATAAAGAAAAGCTCAAGGAACTTGACTATTCCAGACCTGCCCTACAAATGATACTTAAAGATGTCCTCTCGACCGAGAAAAGGAATAGCACCTACCAAAACAAAAGGCAAACGTGGAGAGCGTCCCAATAAAATAACAGAATACTAAATCAAACAATGAACAACCCTTTGCTAAAATGACAGGCCAAATTACTACCTTTTGATATTAACTCTGAATGTTAAGGAGTTAAACTCATCAATCAAGTGTCATGGATTAGCAGACTGGATCAAAAAACAAGGCCCATCTATCTGTTGCCTATAGGGGGCAGATCTCAGTAGCAAAGATTAGTGGAAAATGAAAGGATGGGAATAAGATATTCCAGGCAAATGAAAAAGAAAAATGAGTTGGTATAGCTATTCTTTTTTTTTTTTTAATGCTTTCCTCTTTATTTCTCTCTGCACACAGGGTGGGTTTCATGCCAGACCCCAGTCTTACTAGTTTATTTTATTATGTTTTATTTTTCATCTCTAATTTTACTTGGTTTTTCTCTTTTGCTTTTCTTTGCTAGTCTAGCTAAAAGTTTGTTTTGCTCATCTTCTCAAAAAATGGCTTTTTTGGTTGCAATTTGTAGTTTTTAAGCTTCCATTCCATTTATTTTTGCTGTGGTTTTTATAATTTCTTGCTCCTGATTCATTTTTTTCTATTTTAATAAGTCCTTGGGATACATTATTAGATAATTTATTTGAGATATTTTTATTTTAGGTAAGCACCTGATGTTATAGATAAATGTCCCTTTCAATACCCTTTTTGTTGCATTTCATTGGTTTTGATATTTTTGTTTTAATTTCCATTTCTTGAAAAAAAAGGTTTTTTTTTCCTTATTTCTTCAGTGACACATAGGTTATACAATAGCATTATTTTCTTCAAGAAGGTTTTTGATTTTCATTTCTTCAGCGACACTTTGGTCATAAGTATCATGTTATTTAACTTAAGTTGTACATTTTTTATTTTTCTTTCTGTTGATTTTGTTTTATGGCTTTTCATTTAAGGGGATGTATAGTCACTGTGCAATAGAGACTGTCATATTCAGATGTGAAGATACAGTGTAGTATGCATCTCTACTTCCAAATCAAGATGAACTTTCAATGAAACTGTTAAATGTATCTTGACAATATTATGCTCAAGTTTGTCATTGTCCATACCTACAGTATCAGAATACACTTAAATAGCAGAATGAAGGACTATAATATTGTAATAATAGAGGACAAATCAGTGATTTGGAAGGAGGGAGGTTAAGTCCCAGAGCCTGTGAAATTGAAGCATAAAATATATAACTAAATAATCAATAAATCAATCAAATACATGAGTTCTTTTAATCAAGGCTCAAGCTTTCATCCTTTAAGGGCCAGAAAGATGTTGTAGTTCATCCACCTCATGTTAAAGCATCAAGCCCCAAAAATGAAGGAATTTTGGACAAGGACCTGTAATGAGTTAGTAGAATTGGAGCTAAAATGCAAGTCATCTGAATATAAGACAGTAAATCGAACCTAATCTACAAGACATTCTCTTTTGTTCATCTTGTATTTTATTGTAGATTGTTATGGAAGAACAGGCAAAGAACAACAAAAATAATAGTTATACAAAAAGAAATATAAGAATCATCCAGTTGTCCAATCTGCAATTTTCCTTCTGGTCCCTGTTGATGTATGCGTAGAACTAGGCCAGACTCTTTGTGCTCCATTGTTCTTTCCTTTTTTAAGGGTTTATGTATTGGAAAGGCAGAATTATACAATGTGAGAAAGACACAGAACTAAATCTTCCATTTTCTGGTTCGCTCCCCAAATAGTCCCAGTGGTAGGCTTAGGAACTATCCAAAGCCAGGAGCCCGGAGCTTTTTCCAGGTCTCCCATGCAGGTGCAGGGAGAGGGAGATGGGCCTCACACTGTGACTATGGGGTGAAAGAACTCTCAGTCTTTGGCATAAAACCTTACGAGACTAAGGACCATTATGAGAATAGACTCCATGGCTTACTATCCCATGGCTTTATTTCCCTCGTTTTAATTTTCTTACCCTTCTCAGAGGCACAAGGTGGAGGTCAGTTTGACTTCCCGCAGGGACAAGGAATGTACCACTTACTCAAGGCAAAGCTGAAGGTCCTGATATATTGTGTTCTCTCCTCAGGCCAGCGGGAGGGCTGTATGGCATTGACAGCATGCCAGATCTACGCAGAAAGAAGCCACTGCCACTTGTCAGTGATCTGGTGAGTGAGGACTCTTCTGAAGGCTTAGGCAACAGTCTTAGGCTGTCTGCCATTGGTCCCTATGGGACTCACATTGGTCTGATTGTCAGTCTGAAGCCTGACTGATATACAGGGGTGGCTCCAGTGGGACCTTGTTCTACCTTACTCTCTAGGCCAAGCACTGGGTTCCTCATTAGATCAAGCTCCTACCTGTAACATTTATGATTTGGTCCCTCAGAGCTGGGCTCCATTGTCTTTCTCCAAGCACATAGCACTTTCTAGATAGCTTTAAAGTATTTGATGGCCTGGAATGGAAGCAGCCACTAACCTTTGACCTGGACTGTTGGGCATGGTGTCATATGACCATGACTGAAGCTTGAGATCCTCCTGGAGCTCAGGGATAAAGTCTCTTTTCAAAACTTGGAGTCTTTAGACCAGGGGCAGGAAATGTCTGGCCCAAGGGATGGATGAGGCCCGCAGAATCATTTTGTTTGGTCCTACCAAGGCACCTGTAGGCTAGACTCAAGCAGTAAATCTATAGCAAGCCAATTTTTAAGCTGATAATTCTGTATGTTATCAATGCCCAAAGGGCTGTTGATGGTAAAAGGTTCCCCAACCCTGTTCTCAACTCTTCATATACCTTAGTGTCCAGCACTGGCGGCAACTATAAAACTGTGTGGACATGAATTCAGGCAGGCTTGGAAATGAAAACTGACCTCAGGGGCTTCAGGACAATCCAAAGCTCCATTCACAGTCATAACTTCCGAGACAGGATCAGCTCAAAGAATTTTCTGCAGCCCTGTGGCTCATGGGGGGACATGAGGGATCCAGGCTCTCCAAGAATTTCCGAGTTGTAGGATCATATATAAGAAGGTAGAAAGGTTCTGTAAGACTCGACTCTGCTCCTATTTTGTTTTTTCCTATTCTGGCTTTACTAGTTACTCCAATTGCTTCTTCTCCAGTACTGTTCTTTTTTCCCCTACCAGTTTCTGTTTTCTTAGTTGGTTGGATGGAAATATCACATGCTGTTTTCTCTTCATCTCTTTTTTTCTTTCCTTTTAAAATTTCCTGCTATTTGTGTATCTTCTCTTTTTTTCTTCCTTTCCAACATGCCTCTTCTTTCCTTAGCTCTTCATGTAGCTAAAGATACATTTCAGTGTCATCTCTATATTATTATTTTCTTTCCTTCCTATATCATCTCCCATCTTGTCTTTTTCTTCTGAATTTTTTCCCATCCTCCATTCTCTCCTTATCAGCAAGCATTAATTTTTGTTTTCCTGAATCTGTGTTGCTGTGCACTGTATGTAATTCTCCTTAGAGTAGGAACTCTGAGTTCTGGCCCTTGGCCAGCTCTTTGAGTGAAAGATAGTTTTTAATAGATAGAGATGGTCGGGGTGGGGAGTATGGTTTGGGATATATCACTTACATTGGAGTATAGGAAAGAATTTCTCACTTTCCTTACAAGTTTTCATGCCCTTGGGAGGGAGCTCTAACATCTTGTTGTTCCTTTCTCTGCTTTCCTCTGCACAGGCTATGGTGAGTGTCTCCAAAGTCCCTCCGCATCCTTTCTAAGAGTCCTCATCCCAAATCATTTTGGTTCACTCCCCATCCCCCAAACCCAACTACTCCTCTGTGTTCAATGTGCACTAACTTTGGGAAACCATATGCCTCTCGAGGAACTGCCCTTAAAATTTGGGATTGTCAGGGTGTGTGAGACCCCTTTACACAAGAACCCAGCTAGCAGGGCAGCCTCAGCTGTCAGACTTAACTCCCTGCCTTGCTTGTTTTGACTGAGGCTGTGTTGTCCTTTCCACTTGCCATATACCCTGTTGGCTTCTGCAGCCCCCGGGAGTTGTTTAGACATAGGAAGTGTCAAGGAATAGAATAGAGTTTAGTGGGGAATAGTTCTGTGTGATGGTTTTTGAACATGACATTGACAGGGCTATGTTTCTCATTCTAAATCATCTGCTTCCTACTGCTTCCCAAACTTTTTATTTTTTTCTGTGTCTTTTTATAAATAAGGAAGTTCTATATGATGAAATGTCTAAACTTGGTGAGGGAAAGGGAAGCTCCTTGGGTGCTGGATACCCTGAAGGAAGTACCATCTGACATTGTGAGAACAGTCCTCTGAGAGCCTGAAATTTTACATATTAACCTGGTACTTTTGTTCCAGTGCCTTTCCCTGTGAGTGATAGTAAAAAGAGAAAGTAGTGAGTTATGACCAAATGTGCTTAGTCACTGAGGCTCCTTCTCCAGGTCGTTGCCAACTCTTGGTGACTAGGGCTAATAACAAGTCTTGTCTCACAGTCACTGGTCCAGTCCCGGAAGGCAGGGATTACTTCTGCAATGGCTACACGTACTTCTCTCAAGGATGAAGAGCTGGTAAGTGATCCAAGGGCTTTCTTAAGTTCCTTGGTGACCATCTCTATATCCCTTCTGCCTGAGAATTCAAGAGCACTGTGGGACACATTATTGATGAGACAGATCAGTAACGTCTTATCTCAGTTTCCTCCTCATACGAGGAGAGACAAGAATCCAGACCAGGAAGTTAACCCGGGTCTCATGTTGTAGGGTGTGGCCACTGAACTCAGGATTTTCCTAGACTGTGCAGATAGATGCTGGGACAGCCTCAGTCTCAGGGTCCAGCCAAACCTGAGTTGGATGATCAGGGGCACACTATGTTAGGGACTTCTTTGCAAATCCAAGCTACAGATTGGACCAGGCTAGAGCAGTTCCTCCATTGCCAGAGGAGAATTTGAGGACCCACAGAGTTTCAGCTTATGCATCTCCCAGCAGAACTATGAAGTCTCAGTTGGGAAATGGGTATGTGTGTTTCAGAAATCCCATGTGTATAAGAAAACACTGCAAGCCTTAATCTACCCCATCTCCTGCACCACACCCCACAACTTTGAAGTCTGGTCGGCTAGTACCCCAACCTACTGCTATGAATGTGAAGGCCTGCTCTGGGGCATTGCCCGGCAGGGCATGCGCTGCAGCGAGTGTGGAGTCAAGTGCCATGAGAAGTGCCAGGACTTACTCAACGCTGACTGCCTGCAACGTGAGTGCCCCTGTGGGATGGGGATGGGGGGAGCAGGAGCAGCAGTGGGCCAGGATAGCTGAGCCATCATTCTTAATATCAGAAAGCTTTTCATTTTCAGAGATGGTAGAGTTCTGAATCAGGAGGCACCACCTTCCTACATAACAGATCTTCTAGTATTCTCTCTTAAGCACCTTTAGAAAATTTTTTGAGTTCTTCATGGCCTTCTGGTAGAGCTAACATTTCTTCTAGAATTCACTGATTCTGGAGACCAAGATTCAATATTATATATGCATAGTGACCTAACTGTCCAAATGATGAGAGCATGCTTAATCAAAGACTTTCATGAGAAGAAAATGAGTTCTGTGAGGTTCTAGGCCTCGCAGAAGAGTCTGCTGAGATCAACAGTGCCCAGAATAGAAGTTTCATATGGATTGGACAGAGGTCTGTTAGGAAAGTGTGTCCGATTCTCAAGGCCCTGGCTAAACATGGGACTTTGGCCACCAAGATGCAGTAGGGAGAATGGGAACAGGAAAATAAGTTACTGTTGGAAGAGGTGGTAGTACTCAAGGTTTCTGTCTGTTTGGCTCCCTTCTGCTGGTCTTACCTTCACAATGGTTGGACCCCGGGAAGAGCAAGGGAGGTAGGTAAGGGCAGGAGGCAAGTATTCTGCTCCCAGATGTTCCCAGTGTCACTCCAGGCCAAACCATAGCTGTGAAAGCTTTAAGGATTGCTGTAGGAGAAGGAGAGATCACCTTCAGACCCATTGCACTTCATTATCCCAAAAAGATACTGTGGCCCCAGGAGAGGCCTTGAGGAATTCTTCACTTAAACTTTTCTATGGGAAGCCCTAGATTGGTGCCAATTGCATGGCTACAGTAAAAATGAAGACAGGATAAAGTCAACCAAAGAAATGGGCTCTGAGAAGATAGTCTGGAGACAAATGTCTTTGTTGACATTGCCCAAACCCTGCATTAGGGAGTGGCAAGCTTGTGTGCCAGATGGCCTTGAGAACTAGCAACAGGCTAGCTATATAGCTGCTTGTTGGGAACCCTCTAAAAAGATGCTGCTCTGTGGCTGGGATGTCTAAGCTCTTCTCCAGAACCTTCCAGAGGCCCCAGCCCATGGAAATAGCATCTTGCATGGGATTTGCTAAGTGGCAATGCAGCCTAGGCTTGTTTTCTCTTGTCAGAGCATATTATCTGTCTAAGGGCTTCTGCAGAGTACAGAGTAGAATGCAGTGCCCTTCTGTGAGCCTCCATGGTCAGGAATGTGCTTTCCCTGCCTCTAGGCTTAGGATGCAGAGATTGGCCTTTAAGTTTTCAGCCTGACGGTCTAAACCTGTACAGAAATAAATCAGATTCAGCCTGTAGGAAAAAACAATGGGCTCCAGCTGCTCCTCTAAGAAACCTTGTTGTTGAGCTGGATGAAACCATGGCTGTGGAAGATGGCTTTTGGTCATACCATAGTGAAGATGATTGTAACAACAGTATTGACCAGTTACTGAGTACTTGCTAAGTTCCAGGCACTGGGCCAGGTGCTTCAATTATACTGTCTGAAGTGATGCATATTGTAACCCTGAGAGCTAGGCACCATTAACTCCTCATAGAAGAAACTGCCTTATCAAACCAGGAATGGTAGAGCCAGAACTTGAACCCAAGCCTGACATCAAAGGGCATTCTTTTCTCATTGAACATCAGGCTATTTTCTGAGTGTAAAGGTATTGGAGCCATAGAAGAAGCTAAACCAGGTCTCATGACAACTTCTTGGATTGGTATCATGCTTTGCAGCTGAGTGACATTGGTGGCATTGCAGTGGTCACTCCCTCCACTCCTAGTCAACCGGGACACCTGTTGGTGATAGTTTGATCCTAGACTTGCAAAGTTGATGAAAAGTCTCAGCATATATTCAAGTAGAAGAGTGTAAAAAAGCTCCAGAGCAATGATCAAGATTTTGCTACTCTTGAATTGTATTTTAGACTCCACTGCCTGGAGAGTATGTCACTTAGTGATTACATTCTTTCCAGAACAACTCCAGCCACATGAAAGTTCAACTGTCCTGTAGCCTCTGCAGGTCTTGTTTCTTAGTCTCTCTGTGATCTGGAAGGTGGCCTGTGGGTTAGCTCTACATTTCTGCTTTGGCTCATCCTTTAGGGGCTGCAGAAAAGAGCTGCAAACATGGAGCCGAGGACCGGACCCAGAATATTATCATGGCCATGAAAGACCGCATGAAGATCCGAGAGCGGAACAAGCCAGAGATTTTTGAAGTTATCCGGGACGTCTTCTCAGTGAGCAAAGTTGCCCATGTGCAGCAAATGAAAGCAGTCAAGCAGAGTGTGTTAGATGGCACCTCCAAATGGTCAGCCAAGATTACCATCACTGGTAAGTGGGCTGAAGTCCGAGGGGCACAAAGGTCTGGATTCTGGGGAACTACTGGGGGAAGAGACATTCTGAATGCAAAGGAGAAAGGAACTGGAGAGAAAGAAGATAGATCTAGGGGAAAAAAGAGACCCACTTTCGTTCCCTTCGTTAAGTCCAGGTGCTGGGTGAGGCAAGACTGACAGCTGCCAACAATAGCAACAATAGAAACCCTAATTCAAGAAACCGACAGCAACCCAACACTTTAGGCCAACAGTTGGATATTATAAGAGGTTGAATTTGGAAAGAGGGGCAGACAGGTGACAGGGAATAGTTAACCAGTGGTTTACAAACTAGATAGGTGTGACTAAAATATGTGTATATCAGAGATGAAAAGGGCTGATACAGGCATAAATGTTAGGGCTCCAGTGGGGAAGTGGGACTCTTGGGTTACACTTTAAGGAAAAGCCTATGGACCTGGGACTAAATGTAGCTATAGGGGAGCAGAGAGAGACTGCTTTAAGACGAACAGCATGTGCATAGTGCTGTGGGTTTCTGGCTTGCTCCAGTGTGTACTCTGAAGCTTCCTATGTGTGCTTGGCTTGCAGTGGTGTGTGCCCAGGGCCTACAAGCAAAGGATAAAACAGGATCCAGTGACCCTTATGTGACTGTGCAAGTTGGAAAAACCAAGAAGCGTACCAAGACTATTTTTGGAAACTTGAATCCTGTTTGGGAGGAGAAGTTCCATTTGTAAGTTGCAGAGTTCTATGTGTTTGAGGGGAACAGCATCACTTCCTACTGTTCTGGATGTGAGTCCTGAGGTTGGGCAAGGAGAGTGGAGAAGTCCTGTTTCTCACATGTTGCACTTGGGGTAGCAGCTGTTCTGTTTCTGGGTTCTTTACCCATGTTCATCCTTAACAGGATTGGTAAACTGGTCCTAATGTACCTCATACTTCTTTTCCTAACACTAGGAAGATTTTGTCACTGTCAAAACCAGGGGCTGACTGCCCTGTTGTACCTCCCATCCTTTCTACTTTGTTCAGAAAAGTTGAGACTGTTTGAGTAGAGTGAGGGAAGAATGCCCTTATTTTACACCTTGGTAATTCTGGCGTGGAGATGAAAATCCAGGCTCTGGAAAAATTTCTGTTTTTCTAGTGAAGATTTTCTTTATGCTTGCCTCAGTTTACTATTACTGTTTCTACTATCTCACTTTCTTAGAATATATCATGAGATAGTAAAGGGTGGTTATTGAAAACAGGCAAACTCAGGGCCAGTGCAATGGTTTAACTGGTTAATCCTCTACCTGCAAGATCCAACATCTCATATGGGTGCTGGATTCTAGGCCTTACTGCTCTACTTCTGGTCAAGTCCTCTGCTTGTGGCCTAGGAAGGCAGTGGAGGATGGCCCAAAACCTTGGGACGCAGCACCTGCATTGAAGACCCAGAAGAAGTTCCTGGTTTTGGAGGGACTCAAGGGCAGCTGTTGTGGCCATTTGGGAAGTGAGCCAGCAGATGAAAGATCTTCCTCTGTCTCTCCTTTTCTCTGAAAATCTACCTTTGCAATAAAACAAATACATTTTATTTTTTTTAAAGGCAAACTTTGATCTAAAGACATGGACTGATAGAGAACCCGGGTGGCTTTCTGCTCTCCCAAGGCTGGGGATCAGGACCTTGGACCTGAAGCAGCTAACTAGGTTCACTGCTTCCAGGTCTTCTGTTGGCGCTTTGGAGAACTCATGTAGAAAAAGATTGGAGTATAGTAAACAAATCTGCAGTCCTGGGACAGCAGTTACTGCAGAAGTGCTTATTTCTGTGAAAATCTGAAAGGTTCCTTATGGTTAAATTCAAGTGAGCTGGCTGTGTTTTCATTTCCTCTCCTCCCACCCCCTGCCAGTTTTAGTAAATAATTTATTAACTTTCTATTTCCATACAAGACACAGCCATAAGATTGTCCCTTCACTTCAGGAACCTTATTGTATATTATCTTTCTGTAGAGCAGTATTATGAGGATATAGGAAAAGGAGCAGCAGATTCTGGTGAGTGTAACTTGAGGGTAAGATCATAGGGCCCAGAGAAGAACTTTTAGGGAGGATGGGATGAAAGAAATGCCTGGGAATACTCCCTTCTCCAAAAAAAATATTGAAAGAGGGGTAGCAATCCAGGGGGACGGCGGGGTTGATAGAAGTTCACCAAGCACAGATAGCTGATGGAGAAGTTAGGTTCAACGGTCCAAGGAGCTGGACTCCTTTTCGGTTTGCCAAGTACTTTACACCTAAACCCTTCATTCTGCTGGAGCCATGCCCGCAGTGGCTTGTGGCATCGCCACTGGAGGGCACTGGGTGCAGCAGGAAGGACGAGGTTGGGGACCCAACATCTCAGCGATTCTCCAGGGCCCGCATCTGAGCCCTGCCCACAGCCATGGCACCTTGGCTTACAGCCCTGGTGCCATCCCACTTCCTGCCTGCCCCGGTCTCCACAGGGGCTGCTCTGGCCCTCAAGCCCTCTATGGGCACCTCGGCCGCTGCCACCACCACCACCACCTGATGATGAAGAAGTTAGAAAGCTAAGCAGAGGTGGCAAGACATGCCTACCATGGTAGTAAACTCCTTTACTGATTTCATATCTCAGACTCTACTTTTTAGAGCTTGTGGCATATCTAGCTTTTTCCTGTTGGTATTGCTAGCTGTATAAAAAGTCAAAATTGGAGGCCAATGTAGTGGTGTAATAAGGTAATCCTCACTCTGTGAGGCTGGTATCCCATAGGGACACTGGTTTAAGTCCTGGTAGCTCTGTTTCCAACCAAACTTCTTGTTAATGGCCTAGGAAGACAGCAGAGATGGCCGAGTGCTTGGGCCCCAGCATGCATGAGGGAGACCCGGAGGAAGCTTCTGGCTTCTTTTCCCATCCAAGTACTAACCAGGTCCGACCCTGCTTAGCGTCTGAGATCAGATGAGATCGGGTGCATTCAGGATGGTATGGCCGTAGACGGCTCCTGGCTTCTTCTGATCCCAGCTTCAGATCACCTTGGCTCTTGCCATTGCAGCCACTTGGGGAATGAACCAGCAGATGGAAGACTTCTCTTTATTTTTCTCACTCTCTCTCTCTCTCCTTTCCTCCCTCCCCCCGCCTTTGTCTTTCAAATAAAAGATCTTTTAAAAAAAAGAAAAATCAAAATTGAGGGGTTGGTGCTGTAACGTAGGGGGCTGAGCCTCAGCTGGCAGCATCAACATTCCTTATCGACATTGGTTCAAGTCACCACAGCTCTGCTTCTGATCCAGCTCCCAGCTAATGGCCTGGGAAGGCAGTAGAGTAAGTCTGGAGTCCTTGGGTCCCTGCACCTGCGTGGGAGACTTGAAGAAAGCGCCTGGCTCTTGACTTTGGACCAGCTCAGCTCCAGTGTATGTAGCCATTTGGAGAGTGAACCAACAGATGAAAGATTTCTCTGTGTCTCTCTTTCTCTCTGTGTGACTCTGCTTTTCAAATAAAGACAAATGAATCTTTAAAAAAGAAATAAGTAATAGCCAAGAAGTGAAAATTGACCCTAATTACTCTTTCTCCTCCTTTCCCTAGTCGTGGTCAAATGACTAGATAATGCTATATAGATCTCCTAGGGTGAGGATTGGTAAGATAGCCTGGCTCACTCAGGCCTTTAGTGTCACTGCGCTCTGACCCTTGCTCCTCTTCCACAGCCTCAAGGATAGTGGATGGAACTCTGAGGGAGGGGACTGGATGTCATAAGAGTGGGCTCTGCTCATTCTGTCCCTAACAGCTCACCAACTTCTCTTGCAGTGAGTGCCACAATTCCTCTGACCGCATTAAGGTGCGTGTGTGGGATGAGGATGATGACATCAAGTCCAGAGTAAAGCAGAGGCTCAAGCGAGAGTCCGATGATTTCCTTGGCCAAACCATCATTGAAGTTCGGACCCTGAGTGGCGAGATGGATGTCTGGTACAACTTGGGTGAGAAAACAACCAGCCAAAGTTGCTGGGAAGGGAGAGCATAAAGAGACGTCTGGGAAGATGCCCATTTAGCAGAACTGCCAATCCCTGAAGCATGTATCTGATTACCCGTCCTGCCTACAGAAGTAACCATTGGTAGGGTGAAGGATGGAGGACTGACAGTCTCTGGCACTAACTCCAGCCCCTTTAATCTTCATACTCCTCCTCATGCTTTTTGCCCCCCAGCTGCTCCTGTGCCTCACCCAGTCAGTTCGGGGGTGTGTGTGGTCTCTGGAGTGACTGCACTTTGTTAAGTCTACCCTTGGGTCAGTGCCATCTTGGGTCTAGTGAGGATGGGGCTGTCTCTGCCCTCTGTAATTGCATTGGTGTCATTCATCGTTTTCTTTCCTTCCTAGAGAAGAGAACAGACAAGTCAGCTGTCTCAGGGGCTATCCGACTACAGATCAGTGTGGAGATCAAAGGGGAGGAGAAGGTGGCCCCGTACCACGTGCAGTACACATGTCTCCATGAGGTGAGCCGGCGTTTGGTAGGCAGGGGGCTTGAAACCAGAAAATGGGCCCTTGACCATCAGGAGGTTTAGCAGATGGTTCCAAGATCTGTTAGTTTTTGATGCTGGGCTCATTGTGCTACCCTGGACCACCCAAGTGACTGAGCCCAGACTCCATTCTCTTTCACTGAGGCCACAGGAGGAGCTGAGCAGCGACTGGAAGGACACAGTTTCTCCCGAATCCTGCTTTGCCTCCTCAACTTTCCCACCAGGTTTTGTTTTAGTGTGATGGTGTGTTTAACCTTTTCCTCCCTCTGCCCTGTCTCCTTGCAGAACCTTTTCCATCACCTCACAGATATCCAGGGCAGTGGAGGAGTCCGGATCCCGGAGGCTCGAGGGGATGATGCCTGGAAGGTGTACTTCGATGAGACAGCCCAGGAAATTGTGGATGAATTTGCGATGCGCTATGGCATCGAATCCATATATCAGGCCATGACGTGAGGCTCCCTTGGGACTCTGGGGAGGGGCTACTTGTCTTTGGGGCACATTGATGTGATGGGCAGGTCTTTGTGGAGTCGTAAGCCATGCTTCCTTACTTTCTTCTTTGTACTGGGTGTAGATCTATTCCCCCAAGACAAAGAAGATACATGTAGCAAGGGACTGTGTTAGTAACTCAGGAAGAAGGCTATCTGTCTATCCCAGAGTTCAGGAGTAGGGGAGGAGGTGGACATGGAGGGAATGTAAGGACAAACTGCTCAGGCCTGAGTACGCAGGGCATATGTGCTCACATGCATGTGTGTGACCAGACAAGCTAACTCAGACTGGTCTATGATCAGAGAGGACACTAAACTGTAAGGAATTGATGATATTTGTATACCAGGAATTCTGACTTCTTTGAGAAGTGGAGTGGCTTATCTTGGATGAGCCCTCCCCTAGAGCTGTTTATGGGAAGCAGCCCTGGGTAAGCAGATGGTAGAGGTTACCCTGGTTGTGCTTCAGTTAGTCTACAAACTGCTTTTTTTCATTTTTATTTTTCTCAGAGATTTCTTATATGTAAGGAAGACCATCAGAGACAGAGACAGAAATGAAGAAAGAACTTTCAAACACGGACTCACTCTGCAGTAGCCAGAGCTGAGCTAGATCAGGCCTAGAACCCACCAGGTCTCCTGGGTGGGTGACAAGAATTCACATACTTTGGTCATCATCCTAGGCACACTAGCAGGAAGCTGGATTGGAAGTTCAGAATAGCCAGGACTCCAGTTAGGCACTTGCAGTATGGAATGTGGGCATCTTAGATGGTGGCATTACTGCACTATACCACAATGTCCATCCCACCTCTTTTTGAGTTTCTGTTTGACCTTTGCTTCCTGCCCTGAGGGTCTTAGATGCTGAAGATGCTGTGTTTTTTAGGCACTTTGCGTGTTTGTCATCTAAGTACATGTGTCCTGGTGTGCCGGCAGTGATGAGCACCTTACTGGCCAACATAAATGCCTACTATGCCCACACAACCGCTTCGACCAATGTCTCCGCGTCTGACCGCTTTGCAGCCTCTAATTTTGGGGTGAGTGTGACGTAAGAGCATATGTATTTGTTATCAGTAGTTTGATTTTTCTTTATATGGAGTTTATTGTTATGGTAGAAATTCAGGTAGTTGCCACCTTGCTAGATGGACCTTTATCTTTTTCCTTGTAAATGGATTGACAGGCTGCAAGACTAATTTGACATAAGTGAGCTGGAGAATTTGTGATCTTTACAGGCAGGGAGCTGGATGGGAAGCGGGGCCACTGGAATTAGAGAGCTGGAGAATTTGTAAACTCATGTTTAGAGAGGGAAGTGCCAGCTGGGTTAAGGGCATAACCTCTGTGGGTCAGCAACTTGATCGAGTCATCGTGCTCAGTTCTTCAGATCCATAAACAATCTTTCTTAAAACCATACAGTCTTTCTGTGGCAGATTTGTTGTGTAAGTTCATGTGGGACCTATGTCTAAGTGAGGATGCCAGGGGTACCTGAACCCGTCTTTCTTCTATCCAGAGTATGCTCTTTTGGTGTTAAGTACCTGAGAGTCCAATCATCACTCAGAATTTCATCTGATATAAATTCAATGCAAACTGGATGAACTATTTTTGACCCACCACAAAGGTTACCTTTCTAGTGATAAAATTATCAACAACCCCGTAATCCACTGAGCCTTTGATCCCTGTCTTCTGTGACCAATTACTTTTTTTTTGTTGTAGAGTGTTTCTGTAACTGAATGAGTGTAATTGATTAAACCAGTTAAATCATCTTATCCCGTTAAGTATTAACTTAATATCCAACTATATAATCAGTGCCAACAACATACTGATACCTGACTCCAGAGCTAATCATACTTCTTCATGGAAAGTGTATTACATGTATTTTTAAAAGTATAGATTAAAATCATACATGAAGGGAAATTAGGTAGGATATGGTTTAAAGAGAGACCCCTTCATGCCTTCCTAGTCGTTGTCCAGATTCTTCTTTTCATCATAGTTATGTTACTGTTATGAGCTACACCAACATAAATCAAAAGACCTCCGATCCAGGAACAAACTGGAGAACATGTTAGGGTTTCCTTTTATCTGAGATGAGTTACAGTCCCAAAGAGATCAAAATGCACTTGTCATGACCTATGGTTCTGTGTGTTGAAAGAGAGATTTCCCTTCTCAGGGCCCTGGCTTTCCCCTGGTTAGGATGAGGCTTCCTCCTGTGGGACAGAGGTGCTAAGCCAGGGCACTGCACCATGTGTCCGTGTTTGCTTTGCATTGTTGTTCTCCCCATGGACAGGGACAGGGTAGGTTGTGTCACCAATCAGTTTTCTCCTTCCTACATTCACTACTCTCTCTGCTGTACTCCAGGATGATTCAGAGCAGCTTATTTCCATTATTCATTTCTCCCCCTCAGAAAGAGAGATTTGTGAAACTTCTGGACCAGCTCCACAACTCACTGAGGATTGACCTCTCTACATACAGGGTAGGTGAGGCCATGGCTGTGAGCGGGATGATAGGTGATACCGAGCTCAGAACAGCAGTGACCATGAAGATCCGAGATGGGGACGACTGGTCTGTGCCATCCCATTCATCCAAGTTGATAATGCCACTAATGTCTGATTCTTGCAGCTCCAGTATGTGAATAGCCAGTATAGCTCAATTTGAATACACAGTTGGCTTTCCATCCCACTCACCATTCCACCGAACTTGGATGACATTCTCATTAGGCATTTCCTGAGAATTCCTGAGAAAATTTCTTCCAGAAATGCCCTTTTTAAAATGAGATACACAATTACATTTCCTTTATGTATTTTTCCATAATTTCCTCATTTTCTGGGGAAGTATGAAAATCTGGGTAGAGGAAGAGAGTAATTTGACTTGGGCAGGTTGTTTGTATCAGAGATTGCATTCAGTCCTTTGGAGGAAGGAAATTAATGGAGTAGGTGTGGAAGGGGGTGAGAGGGAAGGGTACCTGGGATGAGACAAGACAAGGAAAAGGGCAGTTTCTCAGTTTCTCCTGAGTTAGATCTTTGTAAAATGCCTTTTTTACTTCCTTAAAATGTTGTAAATTTCCAGAACCGACAGCAGGCACATACTTACAAGTGAGTACAAAAGCAGCCTCAGAGTTGAAAAGAAGTAAGATTTTAATGAACCATACCTCCAGTGCCCTCCATTTGCATGAATAATGGATAGTTTACTGTATATCTTCTATTTGGCATATAAGTAGTCATTGACAGATGCAAACCACTGACCTTGAAATTGGAGTGTGGGGAGCATCTCCTTTCAGCTCTCCATGGTTGTTTCCTCTGGAAGCTCATTCCACAGAGAGTCCAATTAGGTACATGGAACATTCCTAAGGAACTTCCGAAAGCAGTTCTGCTCAGAGCTCTGCCATCTACTGGCTCCAGAGCAGAAGAGCCGGACGCTGAGTGTTTAGGCCTCAGTTTGTCTGTAGTATGGCTCCACTTATGTTCCAGGATATACAGGTAGATTTTAATCTTTGAAAACTCACTGTTTGGGTATAAGAATCCTTATCCAAGAAAAGTTTGTGTGTCTGTTTATTCATTTGTACCAATGCTTACACAGTGCATGAGAAATATGGTTGGAGGGAGGATATGTTGCTCCATGGGCAGTGGAATAGTAACCCCCTTTTGTCAGTAAACAAGAGGGAGACCTGTAACACTGCCTCTTTTTTTTTTTTTTCCCAGCTCAGCAAGTAGCAAAAATCCCAGCAACAGGGGAGCTTGATTTCATTACTTTGAGCCAGGAATTTTTTTCATATTCTTCTGTTCCTTTCTTACATGTGCTTGATCTACAATAGAACAATTTCCCGGCTGGGAGCCCCGAGCGACTTCAGGACTTAAAGTCCACAGTGGATTTGCTGACCAGCATTACTTTCTTCAGAATGAAGGTAAAGGGTAGACTGGGTTGCATTGTGCTGGGCTGGGCCTTGACCACAGGACCTGGAGGATGAGGGTCACTGAGCAGAATATGATGCTACAGGATTCATGACCTCAAGCTTGCGTTTCAGTTCAGCTGTTCCTTGGGTTACTTAGGAAAGAGGGTACATAGGCCACAGATCAGGGAGGATAGGCTCATCAGTGACCTTGCTGATTTCATGCTAGGGCCAGATCCCAGGACTTCCAGAGAAGTCTAGAATAAGGTTTCCTGGATTGCTAAGAGGCTAGCCCACCTAATTTAGCAGAACCCTCAGCTCATATTTTTGCTCTAATTTTCAGGTACAAGAATTGCAGAGCCCTCCAAGAGCCAGCCAGGTGGTAAGGGATTGTGTGAAGGCCTGCTTGAACTCTACATACGAATATATCTTCAACAACTGTCATGACCTATACAGCCACCAGTACCAGCTGGTAAGAGGTTTGGATCAGATAGACTAGTTGTCAGTGACTCTCTGGAGCCTCGGCTTTCCTTTGCTCTTGTCTAGCAGTGGAAAGGAACTCAGGAAGAGTCTTTGATATTCTTGAGGGTAAGTGGTGGAGCAGTCATTTATTGCTAGAGAGGAGCCCTTAGATAAAATGTGACATCAGAGCTGAACAGAAATGCAATAGTACACTTGACTTTGGTGCTGAAAAAAGTAAACCAAATTTTAACACAGTTCACAGGTTGAATAGGTGAGTTCTTCACCCATCTCAGTTTTAATTTCTTACCCCTCTCAAGTTGTTCTGACCCCTGTATGTTCTGGATTGCCTTTTTCTGAAATCTGTAACTGTCTTTCTGAGCCACTGGCTCTTGGACAGGCAACTCTTCACTCTGATCCATTCTGTTTGCATGGTTGTCTTAGGTATATTCATCGGGGGACTAGGAATGCTTACCCTGTCCTGCTGTGAGGTTAAGATGCTTCTGCTGTTTTTGGCATTCCAACTCAGTACCCAGAAGTTTAGTACACTTTTCCAGAATCTTTCAATAGGATACTTTTTTTTTTTTTTTTTTTTTTTACCACCACCGCTTACTCCTTATTTCAAAGACAGGGCTTCCCTTTTCAGCCCAGTTTCTGATATATAATGTCTGCCTTAGTACTGTCTTATTGACCATATATTTGCAAGAAAATCCACTTGCAAAGTAGATTTCTGTCAGTCCAACAAATATGTGTTGAGTGTTCGTTCTAGGCTATACCTAAGAAGCAGCAGAGTGCTCTTTCCTCATTGACTTCCTAGTTTTGTGAGCAAATATACAAGCGTCCTTCAAAAAGTTCAAAGAAATGTATGTTATGGAAAATCTATGTATGGATTTCCAAATTCTTTTTTGCCAAAATAAGTTCATCTTTTAATTCTGTTTTCCACAAACTTTTTGAAATTCCTTCATGTAACTTTCAAAGTTGTCTGTAGTCACCTAATCATAACAACGGAGAAATGACAGTGGCCACCTGAAGTTCTCCTGGGCTGACTGAGCTTGTCAGAACAGTGCCTGGGAGCTGGGAAGGGAAATTCTCGAGGGCTGGGTTCTTCATGTCCAAGAATCTCCTGTCACAGAACAGGACCAGTCTTGTAGAGACTAGGAGTCGAAGGGTCCTTTAGAGCCTAGAGGAGAAAGATTTGAGACACACCTGGTTCTACCGTGACTCTCCTTCTCTTCCACTGTCTCCCTTGCAACAAGAAGCAGGAGCTCCCTCCAGAGGAACAAGGCCCCAGCATCCGGAACCTGGATTTCTGGCCCAAACTGATCACACTCATTGTGTCCATCATAGAGGAAGATAAGAACTCCTACACACCTGTTCTTAACCAGTAAGTATTATGCTGCCTAGCCCCGTCTTGTCGGTAATTGGTCCGTCCATCTAACAGTCTCTTTCCTATCTCTGTATGTTTGCAGTGCCACCTCTTCCTCCTGTCCGTCCGTCTGTCCTTCTCTCCCTTGTATCTGTCGGGGTAAACTGTTTCTGGAGACAGGTGTGGAAACATACTGGGGAGTAGGGGCTTGCCCAGCTGAACCAGCCTCCCTGAGAGGCTTTGGGGCCTGTGGCTATCACGGGAGCTCCAGGCCAGAGACCACGTGTCTGTGTGTCATCCATCCGCTGAAATTGCCTTTTCAACAGACCACAGCCCTGTCCTTTCTCATCTAGCGTATACAGCTTGGGCTTGTGTTCCAGCTTCACCCCTTTTCCTTTGGGCCTCAGTTTTCTGGCTCATGGGCTTCCTCTCCCACTTTTTTTTTTGGGGGGGCCCACTTTTCTTTGCCGGGGGAGGTCCTCCCATTATCCTGCCATTGTCCCCTGGGCCCCTTTTCTCCAGATTGAACCTAGACCTGTTCAGTATGATTTTTCAAAACCTAAGCACCTTTGTCTTGGAATGAAGCAAACCAAATGGCTCTTGTGGTGTTCTCTGACTGTGACTTCTCCTTTCATCCAGGTTTCCTCAGGAGTTGAATGTGGGGAAAGTCAGCGCAGAAGTGATGTGGCATCTTTTTGCCCAAGACATGAAATATGCATTGGAGGGTAAGGTTCTCCCCCAAGACAGTGGGCTTCTAGCCCCAGCACTTTGTTTGCTCTCTCTTTCCTCTCCCAGACAACTGCAAGTTCTAGGCAGATGGTTGTACTGAGTCACCAAAGATTGTAGAGCTCTGGCAGGAAGCAGCCCACAGGAGGCCTGGGGTGGGCAATTTTGCAACCCAAGGAAATAATGGAAATGGCTGCATGCACCTTGGTTAGTCTTTCCAGCTTTATAGCCAATGCCTGTTGGGGATTTCCTCAGCCCAAGATCCACTCTTCCCATGATGGGTGTCCTTAGGTGGCTCATATCCTGGAGAATGATTTTGTGAAACACTTTCTCTATAGTTTTAAAGAACCAGAGAACCTTACATATACAGAGAAAGTTATTTTGACTTTAGGGAAATTCCTAATCTGGCTTTCCTTGAACATTGCTCTGGATTAGTGTGGCAGAGCCAGTAAAATACTTCATCTCTCACTTCTACTACTAGAGTAGGCCGCAGACACAGTATGCATCATGCTGATTCAGCATGCTGTTTTCATTGCTCTCCTTGGTCTGCAAAGATACATTCACTGTGTGTATCAGACCATCCCATCAGTATCATTGTGTCCTTTCTGTCTGTTTACATATGTTAGCCTGTGAAACCCGGTCTGGAAGGGAAATTGTGTGGGACAAGGGCTAAGCAGTGTCTGTCAGCTGGGTGGAGTGGCAGACAAATTGTGTAGCCCTCATACCCTTAGATGTCTGACATTTCTAATCAGTGAATCTTGAGGTTTGAAGCAGCTATTTAAGAGATGTGCATTCCTGTTGAGGTAGCTATAGGCTGCACCTGTGCATTCTGTGATTCAGCCTCAGAGCACTGGCTCTCTCCTGCCCATACTGGGTCAGCTCTAGAGCTGTGTAGCCCAGAGCTTAGCCTGTCAGGCCTGTCTGGAGGTCACCTGCCCATCCCCCCAGACAACACTGAGAATGAGTAGAATATAGTTCCAGAGGGTTTGGAGAGAAAATTAAAACAAACAAACAAACCAAGTCGGAGCACCAGTTAGAGTCCCAGATGGTCTGTCTCTCTCCTTCCTTCCTTCCTTCCTTCCTTCCTTCCTTCCTTCCTTCCTTCCTTCCTTTTTCCTTCCTTCCTTCCTTCCTTCCTTCCTTCCTTCCTTCCTTCCTTCTTTTCTTTTTCTCTCTTTTCTATTTCCCCTTCCCCATCCCTTCCCCAAAACTCCTCCCCTCACCAAATTCCCCTATATTATTACTATTGCATGGCTCTTAATAAACAATCACATGTTCATCATTGCAGGCATGGACAATGGCAGAGAGTCCAGCCTCCCATTGTCAAGATACAGCTAATAGATTCATTAGTGGTCCATCTTTGGCCTGGAAGTAGAGATGCACACTGCACTGCATCATCACATCTGGACATGATAGTCTCTATTACATAGTCACCACACATCCCTCTTAAGGAAAAGCCACAATACAAAATCAACAACAGGAAGAAAAATAGAAATTTACAACACCGTACATTTCTCAAGAGGTTTTGATAGTTTAACAGTCCTGAATTGCTGGCTATCCTGCCACTCCAATCACAATGAAATCTCTCCCGAATCAACTGGCTGCTATAGTCCACCTTAGTATCTCCATCTGCCCAGATCTTCACTGCCAGTGATTGGCTGACATAGTTGATCAATTTGTTCTGTCCTCCATCCTCTGCCATGGTACCAGGTGTCCTCTGGAGGCTCCCATGTACTGTCATATTCTCCATGTACATTTGGATATGCTGTCCTCTGCTCCATCTGAGCCACTGAGGAGGCCCAGCTCTGACACAGAGCTTCCATCCTCTGATTCATTCTCTTCAAATGTCTACAGCGATCAAGACTGAGCCAGGCCAAAGCCAGGAACCCAAGGCTCAACCTACATTTCCCACAGGGATGTCAGAGACACAGATACTGAAGCCATTGTTGGTGCCTCAGCAAGTGCACATTAGCAGGCAGCTGGATCAGAAGCAGAAGAGCCAGGCACTCCAGCGAAGGAGGTGCACATCCCAGATGTCATATTAACTGTTATGCCAGATGTCCATCTCAGTGTGATAAACATTGACAAGCACATTAAAATATGTGCTCCTTTGAAATTGATCCTGCACTCCATTTTCCAAGATTTTTTTTTTTTTTTTTTTGCTATTTTCTAAATGCTGGAGACTCTGATAGATAGAGCCCTTTCAAGATGAATAAGGTAGGGCACTAGTCCTTGAGCAGGTCACAGACCAGTCTGGAAAACAGGCATATTTGTGAGTAATTACATTGGAAAGTTGTATCACAGAAAGAGTCAGCACAGCATGGCACAGGAGAACCATGTAACCTAGACTCAGAGTACCTGGGATGGCCTCCTGGAGGAAGTGGTATGATTGTAAACTCTTTTTTTTTTTTTTTTAAAGATTTATTTTTATTATTTTTTCATTGGAAAGGCGGATATACAGAGAGGAGAGACAGAGAGGAAGATCTTCCGTCCGATGATTCACTCCCCAAGTGAGCGCAACGGGCCGATACTATGCCGATCCGAAGCCAGGAGCCTCTTCTGGGTCGCCCACGCGGGTGCAGGTTCCCAAAGCTTTGGGCTGTCCTCGACTGCTTTCCCAGGCCACAGGCAGGGAGCTGGAAGGGAAGCGGGGCTGCCGGGATTAGAACCGGCGCCCATATGGGATCCCGGGCGTGCAAGGCGAGGACCTTTAACCACTTGCGCCACCGCACCGGGCCTATGATTGTAAACTCTTGAAGAATGATAGGACTAAGCTGACGGGGAAGGAAGGTGATTATGACAAGAAAGGAGACATAGAACATTCCACATAGAGGACAGTATTTGTAAGATTTGGGAATCTAAGGAGAGCTGGAATGGGAGGAGAACTACATGCAGCAGCACGACCAGGATTTCAGACACAGAAAGAGGTGAGAGAGAGAAGGCTGAAGGGGTAGGACATGGTGGTTGTAAACTATAGGCTTTTGGGCTCAAACCGTGTTGGCAACCACTGATGTATGTCAAGCAAGGGATTAACTTGAGCAGATTTATCCTGTAGACTGGCCTCTGGGAGACTGGAATGGAGGCTGTGGTTAGAGTTATGGTAATAAGATGCAGGCAGGCGATAGTGTGGCTAGCAGGATGTGGATAGACTGCAGGGACATTTTAGAGGCGAAATCAGTAGAGGTTGGTGATTTAACTGGACAAGAATGAAGAGGGAGAAGGAAAATGTGAGCATGAAGCTGAGCCCCAGAAAAGAGGGTACGATATGTTGGTATTCTCTGTTAACATCTCAGCTGGAGATGTTAACAATGGTGAGAGATGGGGATCCTACTTAAACTCAGGCCAAAGAGAGATGTTCCATCAAAACCTGTCTGAACCTTATCAACCCCAAACAGGAATCTGGGGGGAGATACAAGCAAACCAGGTAGTTAAAATCATGAATTTGAAAGAATGCTCTTTAGCTAAAGATGAATGGAGAGAGGAAGAGGAAGTCAGCAGCTGGAGACTGGATATGTGCTTATTCAACTTGAAAGACCAACAGCCTAATCAATGAACAAGCAGTATTACTGAAGGACTCTGTGGAATCTGTTAGAGCAGATCAAAGTGAGACCTGTGTTTGGACATCCATGTGTTTTTAGACCACAAGAAGCTAGTGCAGAAAATGGGGTTTAGGACCAGACAGTGGGTTGACAGAGAAAGCAAGGATTATATGTAAACGTGGTAACTTGAAGCCCCTTAGAAGAAAGAGTTAGGAAGCCATACAGTGAGGGCTCAACCCTGCCTACACTTAGAGTATTTTCACGTTTGAGGTTATCAGACTAGTTGAAGGACAGCAGAGCAAGAGGGTTGTGTCTCTGATGTTCTTGACTTCTCCCCTGTCTCTGACTCATTGGTATCTCTGCTCCATCACAAGCTACCACTGTCATTCGTATTCGAAAAGTTCGCTTTCCAGGTGGTAAGAACTTTTGGTTTTGTCCCTTCGCCTGTAGTCTTACTCCTTTCTGTTCCCTTTTCTCTGGCTCACTGCTTTCTAGGAGAGACTGACAAAGCAACCTCAAATTGGGATGATGCTTCCTGCAGTACCAATGAGAGGAAATTCTTGGGACACCCAAAGCCTATTGAGGTTGATCCCCAGGTTTTCATTTCCTCCTTTGAGTATCTGCTGTATTCATTCAGTGATGCTGAGCCTTTTCCTGGAGGAGCATCACCCATAGAGGTCCCAGGGCCATGAACCTTTTCCTTCTCAGTTGCTTAGAACTCCCACTCATTTCCTTGCCTTTACCACTATGCTGTAAGTCAGCACAAAACCCACTTAAATGAATGCTCCAACTGTAAAGGGCAGAGGAAGAGAATCAGTGTACAGCTCCACGTCAGTCATTTCAGTGTGACCTTTGTCATTAATTCCCCAGAAGGTTCTGGAGACTGCTAGATCACCTTTTGTAAGAATAATAAACATCCTGTTTTTTGCAGCATGACAAACCCTGGGCAGTTCTTCTGATGGCGTCTCCACAGTTTATACACTGACTCTATTTGCGTACTTCCCCAAGAGCTCCATTTTGCCTACATGTTCTCTCTGTTCTGAAGCCCTCTAGTTCACCTGAAGATTGCCTTAACATCTGCCTACTCAACTCCTCTTTGTTATCTTGGACCCACTTTAGTGTCTCCTACCCTTATATAGTTGTCATTGACCCATTCATGCTGTGTCCACCTGCTGATCTCTGCCATTTAAGCGTAAGAGAATGGCTCCGCTAGTAGGATTTAGTATTTTTTTTTAAGATTTATTTTTATTATTTTTTCATTGGAAAGGCGGATATACAGAGAGGAGAGACAGAGAGGAAGATCTTCCGTCCCATGATTCACTCCCCAAGTGAGCGCAACGGGCCAATACTATGCCATTCCGAAGCCAGGAGCCTCTTCCGGGTCTCCCACGCGGGTGCAGGTTCCCAAAGCTTTGGGCCGTCCTTGACTGCTTTCCCAGGCCACAGGCAGGGAGCTGGAAGGGAAGCGGGGCTGCCGGGATTAGAACCGGCACCCATATGGGATCCCGGGCGTGCAAGGCGAGGACCTTTAACCACTTGCGCCACCGCGCCAGGCCCCGCTAGTAGGATTTAAAAGGCCCTGGATAAGCCATCATCTCTTCCCACTAAACAGTGTTGGCTCCACAGCACTGTCTCTTCTTCACCAGAGGCCGCTAACCTCACTTTACACTTGCCAAAAGTAGAGCCAGAAGAACTGTAGGCTTGCTCAGCAAGGCTGGCTCAATCCCTTAGGAGAAAGATCTGGATTGGGCCTCTGGAGGATTGTGAAACAGAATGGGAAAATGACCATGAACATCACCATTATTCTAAGACACCCACTAGAGCCATCTGACCAGATCTGCTGCTGTAGGGAAAGCTCAGGGACTGTGGCCTCCACTGCTGAGACCTGACCCAGCCTTCCTCCCTTTCCCCCAGAGCATGAAAAAGATCGGCTGTGTAAGAGTGCTGACTACATGAACCTGCACTTCAAGGTGAAATGGCTGCACAATGAGTATGTGCGGGATCTGCCTGCCCTCCAGGGGCAGGTGCCTGAATATCCAGCGTGAGTCATTCTGTGGGCACCACAGAGGGAAGGAAAAAGGGTCCTCCAGGGTGGGCAGGGTTAGTTTCTTCAATTCAGTTCAGCAAGCCAGTCTTGAGACTGTCCATTCCAGGCACTGCTGTAGGAAGAGGAAAACCCCAGTCTGGTAGAAGCACATGGTATATGCCCCCTCCACTAGCTCCAGCCTTAATTCTCCTGCTGTGGCTACAGGTGGTTTGAGCAATTTGTGCTGCAGTGGCTGGATGAGAATGAGGACGTGTCACTGGAGTTCCTGCATGGGGCCCTGGAACGAGATAAGAAGGATGGGGTAAGCCGGGACCTGGGCTGTATGGGAGCAAGTCAGGAAGACTGTTGATGACCACTGAGTCATCTCTGCTGGCTCGAGCACTTTAGAGCCTGAACAAGCTTAAGAAAGGGTACCAGCTGTGGATGGTGATGCTCTGTGACCCTTCCCAGTTTCAGCAGACATCAGAGCACGCGCTGTTTTCCTGCTCTGTGGTGGATGTCTTCACACAGCTCAACCAGAGCTTTGAGATTATCCGCAAGCTGGAATGCCCAGACCCCAGCATCCTGGCCCACTACATGAGGAGATTTGCAAAGGTGACCATGATCGTCCCTGACCCCTCCCTTATAGTACCACCACACTCACAGCCAAGCTCCAAGCCTGAGCTCAGCCCTCCTCTGCGGTGGCCTTCGGGTAATCCCCATTCACCTTCATGTGTGTCTGAGGCTGAGTGATGCTGCTCTGTGTTCCTCCTCTTGTTATGATTCTGAGATGAGACTGTGGCCTCAGGCAAGATCCTATAGGAAGAGCTAAGGGTTCCTCTCCTTTACCTTCCTCCTCTTTTCCCAGACCATTGGGAAGGTGCTGATGCAGTATGCAGACATCCTATCAAAGGACTTCCCGGCTTACTGCACAAAGGAGAAATTGGTAGGTTCAGGTCCTGCACCCCTTAGAAAAATGAAGTGGAGAACTTTTGAGTCTTTCCTGCATTTATAAGATATTCTTGGAGCTGAGGGTCAAGAAGATGCACCCAATCCCTAATTCCTGCGAAGGCTTTACTTACAATCTAAGCCACAAAATAGCTGACTGAATTCCCCTGAGCCTCCATGTGATTCTTCATTGTCTACTAAGCTGTACCTTTGCTAAGCCTTTTTTTCTTTGTGTTTAGTGAACAAATTAAAATAGAATGTTAGAATACCTTGAGTTACCTGAGTATGCAACACCCAACTGTCAAGCATTTGCTTATCATCTTCCTTCAAAGAGAATTGTGAGAGCTGACTCCAGATCTTAGACTCTAAGGAGTGACCTGTGTGATACGGGAAGGCCTTGTGGCTTTTGAAATAGTGTGAAGGGAGGGACCAGAGGCTAATGGGCCCTATGCTGGAGGGCTCAAGACTCAGTAGCTCCATCTTGTCCTTCAAGCCCTGCATTCTGATGAACAACATGCAACAACTGAGAGTGCAGCTGGAGAAGATGTTTGAGGCCATGGGAGGAAAGGAGGTAGGTCTGAGGGCTTGGGGTCACTCACTGTACTTGTCCTTTATTCTCAAGCTTGTGGCTGCAGAATCCCACTCTGTCATGGCTGAGTAGTCCAGAAGTTCAGCTTGGGTTGTGGGCTGGCTCAACCTGAGACACACATTGAAGCAAGGCTCTTGGAAGGAAGAGTGGGGTCAGGGAGGAGAGAGAGGGATCAGAGAAGTAGCCTAGCCAGCTCCACCTCCTGTGGCTACAGCTGGATCCTGAAGCTGCAGACAGTCTGAAGGAACTACAGGTGAAACTCAACACAGTTCTGGATGAACTCAGCACGGTGTTTGGAAACAGGTCAGTGGCCCCAAACATAAGACCCTCAGAGCTGGGTGTGGTCCCACCCAGTCCCAGAGCCCTGCTGCACCCCTCATTAGCTGCAGGTGCATGGTTCTTCCTACTTCCCTCCATCACTCCACCACCCAGCAACTCCTTCCATATCTAAATGTCCCTATTGGGGCCTCACCATGAGCATGTAAGTGAGACCAAACAACTGACGCTGCTTGGGGGTTGGCATGTGCTTGGGGAGGGCTGAGCTGCACTATGGGCACATGTGTAGCTTCCAGGTGCGGATCGACGAGTGTGTCCGACAAATGGCAGACATCCTGAGCCAGGTTCGAGGCACGGGGAATGCATCCCCCAATGCCAGGGCCTCTGTGGCTCAGGAAGCAGACGGTGTGCTCCGGCCTCTCATGGACTTCCTGGATGCCAAGTGAGTGCAGCACTCGGGACCCTCCCACGGGGAGAGGCCATCAGAGGAGGCTCTTGCGAAGGGGCCCTCAGATTCTGCCCCCATCCTCACCTGTTGCCTGGGCCCACAGCCTCACACTGTTTGCCACTGTGTGTGAGAAGACAGTTTTGAAGCGGGTCCTGAAGGAGCTCTGGCGGGTGGTAATGAACACAATGGAGAGGATGATTGTCCTGCCCCCACTAACTGACCAGACGGTAAGGGCACTTCCTTTTTGCTCCCTGTTGTGTGTCCCTTCCCCTCACTCCCCTCCTCTGGGAGTACTTTGGAGTCCTCTGCTTTTGACTGCTCCCTCTTCTCTGCCAGGGCACCCAGCTCATCTTCACTGCTGCCAAAGAGTTGAGCCAGCTTTCCAAGCTCAAGGTACCTGGCCTGGGGGGGAGGGGCGGTCCTCCTGAGGCTGGAGGGACAAGGGTGCCTGCGAAAGACAGTTTGAGTTTTGGGAGGTTGAAGTGGAGAGGATGGGGAGGAGCATGCTCCTGCAGGCTTGCAGGTGGAAGCAAGAGTTTCCCCATTGGCTGGGCTGTCCTGATGTCTCTGCTCTCTTTGCGGGCTCCAGGACCACATGGTGCGAGAGGAAACCCGGAATCTCACCCCAAAGCAGTGCGCCGTCCTCGACCTCGCCCTGGACACCATCAAGGTGAAGACTTTCACCTACCCCCTTTCCCAGACCATCTTGGCACCACCTGCTTGCCAGATTAGGTGTGTCATAGGCTCTTTGCATGCCACATCCCAAGGAGATGCCCTGTGTCCCAGCAAGGACACATACTTGGATATGGCCCCTACATTGAGGGTGCTCAGGATTGGTTAAGACAAGAAGGCAAAAACATACAAACCATCAGTGAAGACATATGGGACAGGTACATTGTGATCATCGGGTTCTGTCAGGTTCCAAAAACTGCAGTTCTCCCTGCCTCAGCTTCTCTCATTCCCAGGCTATACCTGTCGGAATAGACCTTCAAATGCCACCTCCGTGAGTGGGGGCCTTCCCCCACCACTCCTGCCAAGTACTCATGTAGTACTCTGCCCCTCAGAGACTGTGACTGGCTTTGGGCTCTTCACGATCTTGTCCTCTCCCCAATTCTCTGAAGATGGTTGCTGGGGGAGCCGCCTCTTAAGGGGACAAAGCAGTAGCAGTTGCACTTTTATCTTACAGCAATACTTCCATGCGGGAGGCAACGGGTTGAAGAAAACATTCCTGGAGAAGAGCCCAGATCTGCAGTCCCTCCGCTACGCTCTGTCTCTGTACACACAGACCACGGACACACTCATCAAGACCTTCGTCCGTTCACAGCTTGCCCAGGGTAAGGCCTAAGGACTGTCACCCCCCTCCCTGCCATACATCTGCCCCTGGAGTCAATGTCCTCTAGTCCTTGAGGAGGATCTAGTTAAGTTCTTCAGAGAACCTTTAAAACTTAAATCTTGGGATTTCTTTTTTTTTAAGATTTATTTTTAATGGAGAGTCAAATATACAGAGAGAAGGAAAGACAGAGAGGAAGATCTGTCCATTGACTCACTTCCCAAGTGGCCACAATGGCTGGAGCTGAGCCAATCCAAAGCTATGAGTCCGGAGCCTCTTTCAGGTCTCCCACGTGGGTGCAAGGTCCCAAGGCTTTGGGCCATCCTCTACTGCTTTCCCAGGCCAAAAGCAGGGAGCTGGATGGGAAGTGGGGCTGCTAAGATTAGAACCGGCATCCATATGGGATCCCACCACTTGTGAGGTGAGGACTTTAGCTGCTAGAGTGCCATGCTGGGCCCAAGTCTTGGATTTCTTGAGGGTCCCTAATACTTACCCCTACCCCATTATCAAGACCTGGGTGATGGGTCAGAGCTCCCTTCTCCCAGACATCGCTTGGCCATTGCATGTTTATTGAGTTCATGGAGTATGCCTTTTCTGGTAAGTGAAGGAAAAGGAGGAAAACTGTGAGAAAGCTATGAGAATGAGTGATTCCAACACTCAGGAGGGTTCCAAGCTTTGGGCACCTTCCTGGCAATTCTCCTCAGGAGAGAAAGCCAGGAGATCATGTAGACTCTGATGTGGATGAGTCAAATGAAGGGAGCTGCTGAAGGTGCGAGGTGTCTTGTGGGGCACTGCACAGCTGAGCCACACCCTCCTAGAGGATGCTTAGGCATTTGACCCCAGGCAGCTGTTTCTCTCCCAGTGACTGCCTGTCCTTACAACCCCCTCCTTGTCTGTAGTGAGATCTGTCTGTGCACAGATATGGTTCAGACTGAAACTCTGACCTGAGCCTGGAGCTCCTGCAAACCATTTTTTACTGCTTGACTGGGTGGCCAGAGGATGGGGCCTGGTAGAAAGAAAGACAGACTTAGGTCTCACTGAACGGTGGATCCAGGGTAAAGAGCTTATCTCAGAGGGACAGTTGGACAAGAAATGACTAGAGGTGACAACACAGAGAGGAGTTTCAAGGCCACCCCATCACACCCATTGGTTCTTATTTCCAGTTCAGAGTGGGTTGAAAGGAGAGCAAAAGCAGCAGCTATGAGCTTTGTTCAAGGACATGGAATACATACAGATAAACACTCATAACATTGGGGGAGATCTGAATTAAGCCAGAAAAGCTTTATAGAGGCATTGAGCTTTATGAGATAAGAGCCAAGGGGATTCTGACAGGGGCTTGTCATGAGATAAGAACAGAGGTGGAAAAACACAGACAGGGTATGGGGCATGTGTGTATGCGCATGCATGCATTCTCTGCCTGTTGCTTTATCATTTAAGGGCCTAGGAGCTAAAAGCCTACAGCCTGTCTTTTGCTATGCTGCTCTGATACCCTTCTGTGCTGCTGTTGCCAATGGTTAGTGTGCTCTCCAACCCAGTGAAGTCTCCTGTGGAACATCAGGCACTGCTCCCAGCCCTTAGACTTTTTATCCACTCTGTCCCTTTTCTGGGCTCCCTCATAATATGTGCAGGGGATGCTTTGAATTTCTATTCTTTAAACCTCTAACGAATTCTTCTTTCTCTGTCCTGCTGCCGCTACTACCTCTTGACTTGCTTCTCATTCAGTGCATGACGGGAAAGGTATTAGGTTTACTGCTAATGAGGACATTCGACCGGAAAAGGGTATGTGCTACACCAGGCAGGTGTGACTCTAACATGGGCTCACACAGACCCTTGTGAGTTAGAATGAGCTGCCTATGCTGGGGGAGGTAGAGCCAGATGTCAAGGATTGGATGCTATTATCCCAAGTCCTGCAGCGATGTACTCCTAAGGCCCGGAAATGGGTTCTGTTGTTGATCCTTGTCCTGGCCTCAGAAACCCCCCCCGCAATCCCTCCACCTCACCATAATAAAGGATTTTTTAAAATCTGGGTACAGGATAGCAGTGTTTTCTCAGAACCAGGTGAGGTTTTGCTAAGGAGAGCCTGTATTGGCTCTTTTCCCTAGTTGGGACTGGACTGTGATCCTGTGCAAGGGCTCAGATTTGAGCCAGATAAAGTCTCTCTGAGCAGGGCAGCCTCCCAAGCAGGGCCCTCCAGGGATTCTGGAAATAGGCCAAGGGTGCTGCTCTTGGTCGGAAGGAACTACTTTGTTCTGTTAAGGGACACAGACATAAAGTGACAGAACTGTCCTCTCCCAAAGGTTCCATGAAAAATTGTTGGGCTTAGGAGATCTTTGGGGGTCCTCAAAGATTCCTAGGACATTTCTGAAAGAAGTTTCCCCTAAGATGCTGCTGTTTAACTTGTGTTATAATAATACTCAGCCTCATTCTTTACCCCTTCTTTCCTTTATGTCATTCCCTAACTTCCCCATGGCTATGGTGGATCATTGATTTTTGCTTTAGGGTAGAGCCTAGAAAGCTCCAGTATGGAATGGAATAATTTATCCTCAAGTCCTTCAGTGGTGGGATGTCATGTATTTATCTGTTCCTCAGGGTCTGGTGTGGATGATCCTGTGGGGGAAGTCTCTATTCAGGTGGACCTGTTTACCCATCCTGGGACTGGGGAGCACAAGGTCACAGTGAAAGGTGAGTGGGATGGTTCACAGTTTCTGCTCAGTGGCCTCACTTGTCAGTCCAGGGCATGGGCTGCTCATCCCAGTTGCCCTCAGAGGGGAATGTCCTCAGGGGCTCAAGAGCCAGGAGTGCTTGGTGGGGTCCCTCACAGGTTTCCTTTGTTTGCACAGTGGTGGCTGCCAATGACCTCAAGTGGCAGACAGCAGGTATGTTCCGGCCTTTCGTGGAAGTGACCATGGTGGGCCCACACCAAAGCGACAAGAAGAGGAAGTTCACAACCAAGTCCAAAAGCAACAACTGGGCCCCCAAGTACAATGAGACGTTCCACTTGTAAGTAACAGGGTGGTGGACCTGCAGGACTCTGGGATGGGGGTGCTTTGGATGCTAAGGCTTAAAAAGGGGAGAGGAAGGATGGGCTGGAGGGTAGGCTGGGGTGAAGTATACTGAAGACTCTCAGCTTTGGCCTTTTACCTTCTGCCCCTGTGCTCACAGCCTCCTGGGAAACGAAGAGGGGCCAGAGGCCTATGAGTTGCAGATATGCGTGAAGGATTACTGCTTTGCCCGGGAGGATCGTGTGCTAGGGCTGGCTGTGATGCCTCTGAGGGATGTGGCAGCCAAAGGCAGCTGTGCCTGCTGGTGCCCCTTGGGCCGGAAGATCCACATGGATGAGACAGGCATGACCATTCTCCGGATTCTGTCTCAGAGGAGCAATGACGAAGTAGCTCGAGAATTCGTGAAACTCAAATCGGAGTCTCGGTCCACGGAGGAGGGGAGCTGAACATCTTCGGCTTATGTGCCAACCAGGTGGCACTGATTCCCCAATGAGGGCCAGAGGGAGTTAGCTATGTAGCCAGCTTAGGGTCCTTGTAGTCAAGGCTGACCCCTTCACTGAAGGATACTTAAGGGAAATTTCAGGGTGGTGAGAACATAGCTTAGGAGCAGATGTGTGGTGCCAAGAGCTAGTCTGTGGGATTACCAGGTAGAAAGATTCTCCAGAGAGGGACATCACTGAGTGTCGGCCATTCTTGGCAGACACCTGTCCACTCTACATAACCTCCCTCTATCCGTCTCCAGTCAGACACGTACAGGCCAATCTGTAGAACAGGTTTACAGCACACCTACACTGGTGCCTGGCTGGCTAGGTAGCCAGTTGAGCCTACAGGTCCTGCTGGGCCTTGTGAGGTGAGCTAGAGCATGGTCAGGGCAAGAAGACACAGAATAAAGTTCAGACTGTCCCTTGAGCAGAATTCACTGATTTCATGTCACTCAAAGGAGAGCAAGGATTTGAGGCTAAACAAGAGATGGATCCCTTCCCTCAGCCTGTTGAGAATTAGGACCAGGTCCACATGGTGCTATGGAGCCCTGAGCAGAATGCTTCTGTGGAACTTAGACAGTATGGCCGCCCAACCAAGAGTCCCCATACCGTGCTTCTGTAAGCAAGAGGCTTGTTGATCAAGATGCATGAGTTTGTACCTGAGGGCTTAACTGAAGGGTCCATGAGCATTTTCTTCTTGGAGAGGCCCTGGACAAAGCCAAAATTCAGGAAACCTAGCTCAAGAGAGTCCTTGTCACCTGGGGCGGGGCTACTGTCTTTTTGGGCTGTCCTCCACCTTGCAGGAAAAAAGAAATCTCGCCTTTGGAGCCTCTTCCCCTTTCATCTGCGTCACAGCTGTCCAGTTCTACGATGGCACTTGGACTCTGATCTCCTGGACAGACTGGATGGAGGGCAGCGTCACTGCTCCCTGTGAGCTCAGAGATAGACTCTTCAAGTGGTCTATGGACTTCTTGGACCCTTGCTCAGCGGTGTGATGTGGCCCTCGGATTTCCTGGGCAGCAGCCTGCCAGACTTCCTGAGGACTTGGCATTGTCCACCCGCAGTACTGGCCATGACATGAAAAAAGGAACCGAACTTCTCTGCTGTTGTTAGTTACTGTACGTGCCATTGTTAGAGGAGATTGTAGGCTAGTCTGTAATAAATTATCTTAGCAGTCTCTGGCATCTAGTAATTCTGCTGAAGTGTGAAGAGCGCAGAAATGCTGTCCGGGTTATTGGCAGATTTCTGCTGCTTCACACTTGCATCCCTACCCCAGTCCTCACCAGGCTGGTGGCAGAGCGGTGCAGCTGCCACGGGGCCGGCAGTAAGTGCCGCAGGACCTAGGGCATCAATGCCTCGTGAGAACTGAGGAGCAGATGAGCTGCCGTATGCTGGTCAGTTCTAGTCCACGCTGGCCCCTTTGTGCACACTCGGTTGGGCAGAACACAGCCTGGGCGATGAGGACGAACAGGGCTGGAGCTTCCTGAGGGATGATCTACCTTGCAGGGGGCTGAGGCTGCCATGGGGCAGGGCAGCAGGGGCACCTCCTTGAGGGCACCTGGCCTGTCCTTCAGGGTCTGTCCAAAGAAGAAGAGCTGCAGGACAACTGCTCCCAACTGGGGAATAAATGAGTCTTTTCCTGCTTCCTGTGGGAAGCAGCAGTGCTGGCCTTACTCAGGGGAGACAGTGGAGGACAGGACCTCACACTGAGGCCACTTCCATTGCTTACTTAACAAATCTCTGCATTCAGTTGCCAAGTCAATCTAAGACTCCCTCCTCTTGCTGTCCCGTCCTCCCTCCCCGTACCCCCCCCCCCCAAAAAGCTTATTTCATTCTTGCCTCAAAATTGCCTCCGGAATCCTCTCCTCTTCCTCTTCCTCATCTTCCCCTCCCTCCCACCTCCGTCCCCAGTGCTCTGCCTCTCCTTACCTGCCCCACAGATTGCCATACTACTCCTAGCTTCCAAAAGGAAACTTCAAGACTGCCAGGCACGCGGCTCTGCACTCGCAGGCTCTGGGCCGCTAGCTGAGATACCCTGCCAGTCCTGGCTGCCACCACTGCACTCTGCATCAGCCTGTTTTTCTGCCCAAAAGTGGGGTCTTTCCATTGTCCCAAGTTCCAGGCGCTTCAGCATGCAGCCCACCCCTCCCTGCGGGTGCCGGGTGAGAAGGGCTCGCGCACGGGGTGGGGGCGGGGTGCCGCTCTAGGCTGGACCTGAGCCTGCCCTGCACTTGCGCAGAAAGATGCGTTAAGATGGAGGCCACGGGAGTCGACGGACATACGGCGATGGTGAGCAAGAGGAGCCCAAAGGGGGCGCCCACCGAAAGGTTATCGCATTCCGCCTTGCTTTCTTGGGAGCCTGGACCCTCACACCACTTGCTAAGCCCGCAGTTGCCGAAGTCCTTGCCCTCTGTTTTCCCTAGTAGCTGTCCAGTTTCAGACTGGAGAACTGACAGATTAGGAGATCTCTTAGCTGGTATCTCCCTGAAACATCTGGTGATGGGAGTGAGACACGACTGTTAAATGACTTGACTACAGTTAATCACAGACCCACCTTTGTTACTTTACATGAGGCCTCATGTGATGTGCCTGGCATATGATAGCTGTTCGAGTTTGCAATCCTGATGCTGAGTTTGGGGTATTTTCTTAGCCAATATTTTGAACCTCTCGGGGAGAATGGAAATCTAAAGAAAGAAAAGTGTTTGGGTTGGTTTTGGCTGCTGTAATGCTCTGATGGGGACTGGAGGTCGTTCAAACAGCTGGACCCCAGGATGAACTCTGTGCCAAAGGGATCCTGGGAAGAGGATTCAAGCCGAACACCTGTACCGCCAGAGTCCCGACCCTCTAGTGGGGTGTGGCCAAGATCAGTTTTTCTTTCCTTAACACTTTGTTTTTAAAGGGTCTGGTTCTGGTCTCTGTGGAAAGCAGTTTCTCAAAACTGCTATCTTCTTGATTAGGGCATTATTCCAAGTTAATTCATTGTTAATGTGGAGAATATTCAAAACTTCCTGATTAATGACAACAGAGGCAGAGAGAGAGCATTGTCAGGGATGACTCAGGTTTCTGGCGTGGGCAGGTAGGCAAATGGCAATGTGAACAACTGATGTTCCCAGACAGGACTTGGGCAATAGAGGCAAAAGAGTATGCTTTGCATGGGTAGTTTTTTTTTTTTTAATTGCAATGATGGTAGAATATACATTACATAAAATTCTCCTAAATTCATAAGTTACATACAATTCAGCACATTCACGATGCTGTGCAAACATCACTTACCTACTTCCGGAACCTTTTCACCATGCCAAAGGGAAAGCTCATACTCATTAAGCAGTCACTATGCAGTATGTGTGGATTTGGAAGCAGCTGTGTGACACTGAAATAAACACATTAAGTAGACTCCTGGATATGCAGGACAGGTGCTCAGGATGAAATGCAGGCTGAGGCTGGATGCCTAGCTAACATAGTCCTTATCTGTCCATGAGCTTATAGTATCTGGCCTGAATTGGATATAATATATGTATATATATATAGGATCGGTATAAATAATCAACTCATCAAAGACATTTCTTTATCTGAAAAAGCTGACAACCTGTGATATAAATACTAAATGAAGCCATAGACGTAGTTAAGAAAACTCTGGGGAAATGTGCAGTTGGAAGCAGAATGAGGCTGGAATTTTGCACGACATTAAGGTGTAGAGAGTATCTACTTTCAGAAACAAAAGTTCTGTCTCAAAATAGACTCTCAAAGTGCAACATTGTTTCCTTTCTTTCTATGTACCTCTTTCTGTTGCCTCCGCTAAACAGCCAAACATGTTTCTCAGACTGACTCATATTGTCAGAGTGTCTCTTTAGGTTACCACCCTTCACATTTCTCCCTGATTTAGTCTTCTTTTGGCCATTTGGTGGCAAGGATGTCATTTATGGAGCTAGTAATAGAATTAAGCAAGTTATAATTTACAGTGTATGTATGTGGCTGCACACTTGCACATGGATGTACACCTTATTAGTCTTGGAGAAGCATCGATCCTCTGAGATGTATGGGCTCTGCACCAACAGCATCATCTGAATTTATAAGAAATACAAATTCCTGAGCCCGGTGCGATGGCTCAGTGGTTAAATCCTCACCTTGCAAGTGCCAAGATCCCATGTAGGCACTGGTTCATGTCTCAGCTGCTCTACTTCCCATCCATCTCCCTGCTTGTGGCCTGGAAAAGCAGTAGAGGACAGCCCAAAGCCTTAAGTCCCTGCGGCTGCATAGGAGACCTGGAGGAGGCTGCTGGCTCCTTGCTTCGGATTGTCTCAGCTCTGGCTGCTATGACCACTCAAAGAATGAACCAGCACACGGAAGCTCGTTGTCTCTCCTCTCTGTAAATCTGCCTCTCAATAAAGGTAAAATTTAGGGAAAAGATAATAAATGCCAATTTTGGACCCCACCACAGACCTGCTAAATCAAAACTCAGGGGTGGGACCCAGCCTTCTAGGTGATTCCAATGAAATGAATGTTTGAAAACAACTGATAGAACTACTGGCCAGTTTTTCTCTGCATGGATACAACATAGGTTCCTGATTCATTTATTTTCTATAAAGAATCGGGATGACAGCATTCATGAACTCTTCCATGAAAAGTTGTCTTTGAATATTCTTCATCTGATCTTCTCCATCGCCTTGAATTATAGATACAAATGTTGTTTCCTGCATATTAGTTTCAGCTTTCATGGTGCAGTTGCCATCTTCACCAAAGTAGATTGTGATTTAGCCAGCTAGTAAGACATTTTGTGAGTAAATTATTTCTGTGAGCACCCTGTATTACAAACCCGGAGTCCTTGGCATGGGAGTCACCCAGGGTCCTGCTGTGTCTTATCCTTGGTTTTGAGAGTGTGAAAAAGAACCTCAGTGAAATTGTACCCTTCTCCGTCCCTCCCTCCTCCTCCACCAAGGACTTTTCAGTTTCATGGCTTTGCTTAGAAGAAACAGTAGCTCCACTTGTACACAAGTGCTTTGGCTCCCCAAGAGTTAGTAACTGTAGTCAGAAGAAGCTTCACAGTGGTTATTCATGTCTGTCAAGGAAGATTCTCAGCTTTTAGTTCAAGGGGTGGGGCAGGCAGTACAATGTTCTAGTTTCTGTGTTTCCAAGGAGAGTGTACACTAGTTGAGAGAATAGATGTTTTGCTTACCTTTATGTCTTCAACCAGGCCTTCACATGGAATACATTTAAACCTTCAACAAACACTTGCCAAATTATGTTTATTTAGTTCTGAAGCTGAAGATAAAGATTTTCATTTTGCCCCTGCCTCTATGCTACAGTGATGAGTTAAATAATGGACCTCTGAATTTCTCATTCTCTTAAAATAGATCTAACAAAGTGTGCTTGTACAGTGTTTTGCAAGAATCTAGAGAGAGGGCCCCATGCAACAGCCTAGTGGTTAAATCCTTACCTTGCATGTGCCAGGATCCCATATGGGCGCTGGTTCATGTCCCGGATGCTCCACTTCCCATCCAGCTCTCAGCTTGTGGCCTGGGAAAGCAGTAGAGGACAGCCCAAAGCCTTGGGACTCTGCATCCATGTGGGGGACCCGGAAGAAGCTCCTGGCTTTGGATTGGCTCAGCTCCAGAAATTGCAGCCACTTGGGAAGTGAACTAGTGGGCTGAAGATCTTTCTGTCTCTCCTCTCTGTAAATCGTGAGTTTCCAATAAAAATAAATAAATCTTTTTTTAAAGTCTATAGAGTTACTTCAAAATTTATGGGAGATGAAAGACATTTATTTTATGTACAAAAGTTGTTTTTAAATCCACACATGTGGGTTTGGTTTAATGACCTAGTGGCTAAATCCTCACATGCCCCCGTATCCTGTATGGGTGCTGGTTCATGTCCTGGATGCTCCACTTCCTATCCAGCTCCCTATTTGTGGCCTGGGAAAGTAGTAGAGTGTGGCCCAAAGCCTTAGAACCCTGCACCCACATGGGAATCCTGTAAGAAGCCTCTCGCTTTGGATCAGCTCAGCTCTGGCCATTGCAGCCACTTGGGAAGTGAAAGATGAAAGATCTTCCTTTCTGTTTCTCCTTCCTGTAAAGCTTTCTTTCCAATAAAAATAAATAAATCTTTAAAAGTAAAAAAAAAAATCCATGCATGCCAAAAAAAATCATGGAAATTGGCATATTATGAATGTGCTACATGGAG